GGGGGGGCAGCTTGTGTCCCTCAGAGGTGAGTTTGTTCCACTGAAGGGTGAGTTTGAGTCCCTGAGGGATAGGTTGGTGTCACGCAGGGGTGAGTTTGTGTCCCTGAGAGGGGAATTTGTCTCATAGGACGTTGAGTTTGTTCCACAGAAGGGTGACTTTGTGCCCCTGAGGGATAGGTTTGTGTCACATAGGGTTGAGTTTGTGTCCGTGAGAGGTGGGTTTGTGCCAAAGGAGGGTGAGTTTGTTCCACAGTTGGTGCCACTGAGAGTGAGTTTGTGTCCCTGAGAGGTGAGTTGGTGCCCCTGAGTGGTGAGTTTTTGTGCCACATGAGGCGAGTTTGTGTCCCTTAGAGGTGAGTGTCCCTGAGGGGTGGGTTTGTTCCACAGGAGGGTGAGTTTGTGTCCCTGAAGGGTGAGTTTGTCTCCTTGAGAGGTAAGTTTGTGCCATTGAAGGACAGCTTGTTCCACTGAGGGATGAGTTTGTGCCATTAAAGTGTGAGTTTGTTCTACAGAAGGGTGAGTTAGTGCCACAGAGGGGTGAGTTTATTCCATATAGGGGTGAGTTTGTGTCCCTGGGAAGGAGTGGGGTTTGTGCCATTTTAGGGGGGGGTCTGCCAGTAGGGGGTGAGTTTGTGCCCCTGAAGGATGATTTCTCACAGAGAGACCCCTAAGCAGAGTGCAAACTCCACCAAGGAAAGTGTCTGGAGTGCTTGTAAGCACCGACGGAGTTTCTCCTCATCTTTAGGCTGAGGAAAAAGAAGAGGGGGAGGTCTGCTTGCCTGCCTGCCTCCCCACCTGTCCAGGCCCCCCTTGAGGCTTCTGAGGGCTTGGCAGGTGCTTGTGATGAGGAAGCTTAAATATGAGGAGAACTGAGGGGGAAAGAAGGCGGCACTCACAGGAGGATGATAAACCATTTATTTATTTAAATAATAAACAAACCAACAAACCATGAATTGCATCCACACAGTAGAAATAATCCAGATTGTGATGAAATTCTGGGGAAATGCAGTTTGTTGCAGCAGCAAAGTGGAGCACTCAGGACACTTTCCCTGGAAGAATTTACACTCTGCTTTGGGGGTCTCTTTGTGAGAAATTGGCGCTACCAGTTTGGCGCAGGTGGCACCTCAGTTTGTGGCAGTGGCCCATGGCAACTGGGGGCTTCCACACTGAGGTAAAATGGAGCCTTTGGGTGCTTTAGCACCTGCTGGCTTGTTAATTTCACCTGTTTGGGATCTGGCAATGTAGTCTCACCTCTTGAAGGACTTTGCCTTTTATTCCCTCAGGAGAGTTAAAAAGCAGAAAAGTCCTCTCTCACATACACAGCGTAGCTTTTGTATATTTTTATGTGGTTTTATGATGGTTTTTAGATTATTTTTAACTGTTTTGAATTGTCATGTTTTTTAATAAATTATTTTTTAAGGAAAATCTATTAAAAGTAAACATAACAACACAGAGTAACAAACATCAAAGCATACAAAAACAAACAAATAAGAGAAACAAATTAACATGAAGTAACCTCCATAACTCTTTTTCCTATTGTTAATTTTTCAGAAATTATTATTTGATGTATCTCTTCTAATCATTAATATCTCAACTCAATATAATATTGTCATTAATTTGTTTTTTAAATTTGTGAGTTGTCTTGGGTCCCTTTTGGGAGAAAGGCAGCATACAAATGAAATAAATAACATATGCACATATACAGACATACACAGATAAGGTGTTGTTCTCTGTCAGACTATTAAAACCTGGAGACAAATGATTCTCTGTTCTTTTCTTTGACTAACCCTTAAAAAATACATTGTTGAATCCATAATGTGCATCTGTAACATTATATTATTTAAGGAAAAGTCATTTACAGCTTCCATTGGTATCAGTTGGGGTTTGGTTCCAGGACCTTTTATGGATACCAAAATCCATGGATGTTCAAGTCCCATTAAATACAAAGGCATAGTAAAATGGTGTCCCTTGTATAAAATGGCAAAAACAAGGTTTGTTTTCTGGAATTTATATTTTTTGAATATTTTCAAGTCATGGATGGTTAAACCATGGATAAAAAATTCCATGGATAAAGAGGGATTACTGTATTTCATTGTGTGTGTGTGTGTGTGTGTG